CCAACCAGCTGATCCTAGTTTTGGTAAGGACAAAAGTGAGGGTCCACTGCCCCTGCAATCTCCAGTTAGCTCCATGTAAGAGTTATTATTTCTGAAACCACTGCTCATATTGCTGCATTGGATGGTCAGGTGCATCATCAGAAGCACGTTCCTGGCACTTTCACAGTAACTGCCTCAACTTCTCTTTATTCTGTACTTCACTGACTTTTTCTAGAGCCTTAAAAATGCACACCAGGGCTGCTACATGTGCATGAACAGCTGTCCTGGGGTCACTTTATGGTGACTGTATCCCAAATCACCTGTTCTATTTATGTTACAAATTAATTTCTGCACCTTTAGGACTGGTTCTGAGAAGGAAGGGGGGAAAAGAAGAAGCCGCAGTTTGTGTTCAGAAACAGCACTCACTCCCCTGCGTGCTACTCTGGACTGTGCTGTCTGCAGCACAGACAGACAGCAAGACAGAGCTCTCCTTTTAGTTATTTAGCTAGCTGAGGCAGAGAAGTCCCCCAGACTGTTTCTTTTTTCCTTTTTTCTTGGATCTGTTCAAACCTGCTCTGGACTGAAAACCCAGAAAAACCCAAGGAGCCCACACCTGTGGCCCACCAGGGCCTGGGCCTCAGCACTTTTCAGCACTGGAGGGACTGGTAAGAGACCAAGCGAGCCAAGCTACACCCCACCAAAAGGATTTTACTGGATTTGCCATCTTTTCGAAAGGCAAAAAATTTTATTGTTTAATATTATTTAATTTCTGTTAAATAAACAGTTTTTTCCACTTTTCTCCAAGGAAATCTTTGCCGAATGAGCTGGGGGAGAGGCAGCTTGAATGTGCCTTCTGGAGGGACCAATTTGGAGGTTTTCTCCCAAATTTGCCCTAAACCAGGACAACAGCTCTCAGGCCAAGCCCTCCTTCCCAGTTACCAGGAGGATGCTCTATCCCCTCTCACCACTGTCCTCCCCATTCTCTTTTCTTTGTGCCCAGAACAGTTCTTGAAGATCTGTGTTTTTATGTACCGGGAGGGACAGAATTAGCTAGGCAAGACAAAACCATTGTGCTGAAAAGGCATCACGTGCTCTGCTTTGAAACACTTCAATGCTGGTCCCTCATGGCCAGCCCTTGCCCCAAGGTGGACCATTCCTTCTGTCCATACTTGCCCACAGCTGGGAAGCACCCGTGAACTGCCACAGCCCCCACTCCCTCCCCTGCTCATCCACAGCCCACCCACCTCTCACACAAACAAAGATTTAGATACTTGATGGCAACCCTCAGTTTTTTAGACAAATAGCAAAATACCAGAAGCTGTATTCAGATAAGGTTTTCAAGGGGGCTGCTTTTTTTTCTGTTTTGACAAATACAGTAGTGACCCTGTCCTTTTGCCTGCAGAAGTTATTGAAACTGTTAACACAATGTTCAAAAAACAACCCATCTCAGATAAGTGCTACTGAAGCTGAGGACAAACTTACACCTCATGCTGCTTTATCATCAAACCACCTCCAACATCCCAACACACATCACTGGCAGTAGGAGCCAACACTGATATTCACACCCCATTATATTATCAGGTAGTGAGGCTGATAAAAACAGTCCCTTTTTTTATCACTATTGGACCTCACTGAAATGAGCAAGAATTAAGATCAGTATTTTGACTGAAAAAAGGTAGAGATGCACTACCACAAAAGCCAACAGACTGACAAAAAATATATACACTAGACAGCAAGCAACTATGCAGGTGGAAGAAAAATCTCATCTGCATTTAGAGGAGTGAAATGAAGAAAGTTAATCAGGCCGAATCAACCATCAAGAACATTGGTTAAAATGCTCGTAAGGTAAACAAGTAGCAGACAAATTTTGTACAGAAGACAAAACAGACAAATTTTAGCTGTGACCAATGAGATAAAATAAGGATGTATTTGAAAATACCAAAAGAAAAAAATGTTTGAAGGGAAGAAAATGCAATTCCCAGCATCCTGAGCACCTTTTATCTGTTTCTATAGAAAAGGAAACAATCAGTTTCTTAACTGATGTGGTCAAACCCAGCTTTAATAACAACCATGGACAGTCTAAGCTCCTAGGATAAGTATCAGAAGATTCTATTAACAAAGACTCAAGAGCTCAAATCTCAAGTTTCTTATGCTGTATTAAGATTCATCTGTTCTCTCAGTAGGTACAAAGTTATTGCAAAAAAAAGAATGAGAAAAATCTGATTTTGCTTCACACCTGAGATTATAACTCATCCTGATTAACTGTTTTCCATTAGCACATACAACAAAAATAGTTGATATTTAATATTATGATATATAATGACTTGCTATATTAAACAATCTCTTCTTATTGTTTCATCAGAGGTGACTATTTTACCTAAAGCAAAGTCTTCTCTCAAATAAACACATTCTATAAGTGCAGAGATCATTCTGTTAACACAAAACAAGCTTCTCTATTGTAGCCAGCCATCAAGAATGGCTTTACTCCAACTACCACTATGTTGTGCTCTATGCTAATACAAGTTTTTATTAGGCAGACTACACAAGTCTCTTGAGATTTTTTTGCACCACTGGACTTTCTTTATCTAACAATCAATTGTTAAGTTTTTATTCTTTTTGCTTTATAAATAATATGTGTTAAAAATTCCAGATGCATTTGCGAAAGCACTACAGTACTTAGAAACATTTTGTACACAATTCTTGTCTGTTTACAAGTAATTACTTGCGACATCAATTTTCATCAAGGCTAGAAGTATCTACTTCTCCAAGATTTGTAATTTTCTAGCATGTGCTATTATCCTTCTGCAGAATCTATATTTTTGTTTTGAACACATGCAGCTTCCTAATCCGGATGGCTACATCTTGCCATATGTGAAACAAAGCATTAAAACAATGCTGTGCTGCAAATGCAGAGACAAGCAGCTGAAGCACCTCCTATGCCACTGGGATATCCAGTTTTATAATGTTACTTTGATAAATAGTAGAGACTGATAAGTGTGGGCCATTTCTCTCTCTCCTCTACTTTGGAAAGCTCTCAAAAAAAGCTCAAACACTTTTCTACAAGACGTAGGAGAGATGTAACTTATTAGCAATACCACCATAAAACTTGCAATGATTCCTGCTGTAAGGATATAAAGACAGACAGAAGACATTGTTTTATCTTCCAACAATTAGATTCTGTATTTCATAATCTTCAAAGATATCCCAGTATCTCTTACCTAGACAGAAGACAAGACAGATAAAAATAGGTTTGGGGGAGAAAGTAACTTTCTAATCTTCCCCTCATATTTGGGACAGGTAGAACACACTGAATAGACACAGTCCTACTGGTAAAATGAAAAAGCAGAAGTCTAAGAGCAGAGGGAAAAATCCAACACATTGGGAAATAAAATAATGTGAGAGAGGCTCTAAGAAAAAACAGATTTAAAGACAATCTGTCTCTGCCTAAGAGATCTCCTAAGGCTATAAAAAGTTTCAAAAGGAGTTAGAAGCAACAAGTCTAGGGATATTCACCTAGATACCAAGTGGCTTTCTTCCAATCTTTCTCAACCCATTCACAATAATTTTGACTTAAAATAGCATGCATAAACTGAATATAATTAATAACAGCAGCAGCATTCCAATAACGATTTACAGTCCCACCAGTTCCACTTCCTTACTGCATCATTCTAATATGTCACTGGAACAAGAGAAATGGAAGCAACGCATTGGGGGTTATACTAATAGAATGACCGATACATTGGCACTTATCTTTGCCTGACCACCTGCAGTTACTGACCTGTCCATCATCAGTGTTAGTGCCATGAAAAGCATATTCTACCAGGTTCTGATGTGGCTGCTCCACCAGCAATGTCATTGCAAACAACTGCATGGATCACCACTGCTCCCACGGCTTTCCATCCTGCAGCACAAACACTCTCACAACAAAATATGGCAACTTTCCATACTGCTGCCATAACCACAATGCTCTCAAAAATTACTCTTGAAAGTACCAACCAATCCACAGCACTTCATCCAGGGCAAATCACTGTATCAAACTGCCCTCACCGGCTGTGTGGGTTTCCACATCTTTTTGTTTAGTTCTGACTGTTTTCATTCCCTTGAAGTCTCAGATACCCTAGATAAAGAATTTATAGACTATCCTTGAAAAGTCTAACGGATGGGAAAGAGCCTACTTAAGGAGTATGAGGGAGAATAAAGAACCATGAAGAGTAGACTCAAGATGCTTAAATACTAGTAAGGACTTAAAATATTACAGTACATTACAATATTACAGTATCCCCTATAATTAAACTAATCACACAAATTTATCCTGAGTCATTCTAATACTTATTAGGAAATGAGCTGAGTGACATATTCATGTCTTATTTATCCCGCTAGAAACAATAAGAGCACAGATCCTGCACCAACATACCCAGCACATACTCCAATGAAAGTGTGCACAACTGGATTTATATAGCCTCCAAATATCCATTACAAATTATTGTTTAAAGTTACTCTCAGATGCATGTACAAGTAGGACCATCTTTCCCTTCAAAACAAATATACAAATTAAACTGAGTATGAAAGTCTTCTGTCCCATATGGGTTTTACAGAGGATTAAACGATAAGGCTTACAAGCCATCTCGGGTGCTAACCCAGCAGCCGCCTGGCAGAGGAGGCCTTCCCTCCCTCCGCTCCTGTCCCGCCACTGAAGTTCACCCACCTCGTGGGCACTCCGGCTCCCCAGAGCTCCCGGCTCCCCTCGGGCTGCCCCTCCGCAGGGAAGGACGCGCTCCCCAAGCCAATCCTCGAGGGTGTCGCTTCCCAGGCCGGGCGCTCCGCGACCCCCGAGCACGTGGTTGCACAGGGAAGGCGGTCCCGGGGAGCCCCGCAAAGAGCCCAGCGCGCCCCGCCGCGGGCCAGAAGATCGGCTCCGGCCGCGGCCCCGGCCCCACCGGTTCCGCGGAGGAAGGCGG